GGGGGAGGTGGCATGCAGTGGTAAATAATGACAAATTGACATATTCGTGTGAAAAACTCACCCTCTAGCTGATTACATTGCATTCCTGGGTATGGTAAACCTGTCACTTTTTGCAATTTTTCGTCATTCTCACAATGTACATTGTAAATGAACTTTTTATAGTTAAAATCCCTTTAAAAGCGCACATTATAGTAGGTTTTAGACATAGCTTTCAAAGAGTAAAAATACTAAATGGGACTTCAGACCTCAGAAAATGAACATCACAATGGACAGAACATTTTAAGATGAGTACATTATACCAAGGTTTTACTAACATGAGAACAGTATTAAAGAAAATGATGTCTCCGACTCTGATGCTTTCTGTAATTTAAAAAATAAAATAAGTAGTACGACAGCACTTTAAAAAAAGAAAAAATAAGTACAAATAAAACGGCTTTAAAATCTTCAATAAATGATGGGGAAAAAAACCCCAAAGAACAAATGAATTCTTTTGAATGTACATGAGGAGAAAGTCACAAACTAAAACTAATGTAGCTTTTAGACGTGACAAATGTTAACTTTGTATTCACACTAAAGCAGATTGACAGTCAGAACCATTTACACAGCAAGACGTAACAATACAACTTTGTCAAAAAACTGAAATAATTTGTTTTGTTTTGTTTAAGGAGAGGTTTTACGGCGCTCGCAACAGCATAAGGTCTTATGAGCGCCAATTAAATAATTTAAGTCTATATGATTAGATCATTGGCTCAAAAGACTTATGACTTTTTTTCTTTTTTTATTTACTTCGCAAGGTGGATATTTTTATGCCGCACCAGCACAATTCAGATAATTTAGGAGACAGGCTTCGACCCTGCCTTTCAGGGCCAACTTGGTCTGACAGGGATACAACATCTCAGAAGAAAGACCAAGATACTCAATAAAAACGCTTCCCAATAGAGAATTGAACTGGGGTCTCCTGCATCTGACGGCGAAGCACCAAACCGCTACACCACAGATGTTGATTTGTGACTTTTCAAAGACATCTGCGTGAACCAGAAACAATGACTGAAATTATTATGCAGCTATCTACACAGAGTAGTAAATCAGATTGGAAAAAAAGGACTCACAATGCCACAAAACAGTCATTCTAATGAGGCATGATCTGGTGGAAAAAATGTGTTTTCCACAAAGTTCTTTTACTTTACTTTTAGTAAAGGTTTTACGACGCTCGCAACTGCACAATGTCAAATGAGCGCCAGAAGATTAGAGGTGTTACAAGAGAGTAACAAACATAAAAAAGAAGAAGGGCGAAAGGTGTTTGATAGGAAAGAAGAAGCAAACCACACCAGAGCACCCGCCAAACACCCACCACCATGTCCACATTTCAAGGTGTTTTTTCTACTAACTGCAACATTTCTACCCTAGTATCTGGCTTTCATCATTAAGAAAGAATCCAGCTAAATTTATGGTAAATTCTGTTTGACCTGATGGTGGTAATAGCATTGAGGAGATGATGGTGACGGTGATAGCAGAGAGGAAGTAATGAAAGGGGCTGTGGAGCTCTATGAAAGGTTAATATGCAATACAAAATGAGAAATATTAATTTCTCATTCTTGGAGTATGCATACATGGTATTTGAGTAGCAGTTATGGGCAAGCTACCAACATAACACATGCATTATAGCGGGAGCGATGTCATGGTATGGTATGGGTTTAAGGCTCCTTTCAACACAGTGACTAATAGGCTGTTTAAGAGGTAGGACTTCTAATTTCAATGTCCATCTCTAACAGGACTGAGCTATGAAGGTGAAAAGCTCTGAAAAATTCCAAGACAACCCAACTTTAAGAATGACTCATTAAGTGTTTGAACCAGGAAGACCCTTAGGACCACAACAATAACAATGAAAAGAAGGAGAAAAGAGTGAACCACACCACAGCATCTATCAACCACCTGAAAGTAGTGACAGGGGAAAATGAAGGACAAACATGAAATTCTGTACCAACAGAAAATATGTCGGATCAATTTTGTATACAAATCCATTTAGAGGGTTACAAAAAGAAGAAAAATAGAAAAAAACACAAATGAATGTCAAAATATTGTAAGATTTCTGGAACTTATTGGGTCTCAAGCTGAAAAACCCATTTCATACTGCCATAAAAATGCAGGCAATAGCTGTAATATAAAAAACAAAAAGTCTGGAACAATGCCAATATATAATCACTGAATTTCCTTAAACCTCAGAAACAAACGCAGCCCGAAAGAACTATGCTAGTTTGACTTACACAAAAGAACAAGAACAGGATAACAATGACTACTGTCGGGAAAAAGGCAAGACAGACAGGCAGTGATCCAAAAAGGACAGTACAGAAAAAGGACCCAAATGTGACCCTCTCCAACCACCCATTCCTTAAGACAGATTGTACAGATAGATGGTAAAGGGGACACAAAAGATAACATATGAGGGATAGGAGGGGTGGGGGGTTGGGGGGGCTAATTTACAAATTGACATAAAAAGCAAATGCACTAGACTCTGGGTCAAAGGTTACACAACTCACTGGCATCTCCAGCGAGAGGGAAGGCATGACAAACGAACAGTTGGAATGGATACGTATACAATGGCAGTTATAGGTCATTATCAGTCAAAGTGACTGAAAACTTTTCCCTCACAAAGTCAGGTCCAGTCCACAAAGATGCCAATGTGCTCAACAACATCACACAGAGCCTTTCCGTACACCTGAGCAAGAAGAACACTGTAAACCACAAAACACTGGATTCCGACGTAGCATTCTATGAAGACCAGGTGTAGAAGTAAATCTGTTGCCATACTGGCAAATATTCCATGAGAGGAACTGTGAAAGAAAGAAATAAATCACACAGTTCACTTGGGAACTCATTGGTCCAGAAGCAAGCTATTCTCATATCAATGTGATGTACATTCAGTCAGATCACTAATTAGAGCATATTATTTATGGCTATATCATGTAAGTCTATACATTAAGGTTGTTTTTGAGCTGTGGAATCAAAACCAACAGAGTGACTGCCAACCGATTTCAAATTTTCCAGGGTAGACAATTCACTTTCCAGGTCAAATAAAGCTGAAGGCATACTCGGATCAATGGGTGTACACACATATTCTTGGGGAAGTATGCACACATATGTATACCCACACTCACATAAACACACGCATACATAAACACATAAACATGCATGCACAAAAATATACACACTCACACACAAACAATAACCGTGTCCATGTGTACAATACAGTATGCAAAAAATGTATAATTTTGTTATAAATTATCAAAATGATGAATATTTTGGTGATGGTCCACAGAATGGCACATTTCCATACAAGGTAAGAACCATCGCATCAAGTTCTAAACAGCAGTAAACACTCTTTCAGCATCTGTGCTGTAATAGTTTGGCTCTTTCTTGTTAAACTTAAAAGACATTAGTTCAATTCCAGAATGAACTTTATCGATTACCTCAACTCCAGCCTGATATAGGCCTGACAGTCAAGGTCAAAGCAGTCCACTGCGTGAATGATCTTCACTAAGCTATCAAAATGAGAAAAAAATTAATTTAATATTACATCAATCCTTATCAACTGAATTCTTAAACTTATACAAAGTTGTCGTATAGTGTCAGTGATCCTTTAACAACTAGATTGCGACATCTCAAATAACGTTTAACATCTTACCCATGACAAGAGAGAGACCAGGGATGGTGTCAGACAAGGCACGCAGAACACGAAGCAACTTCTCCCTGAATAAATATGAAAGTAAATCGTCAGTAAGGACATTATCAACTTCACTTTTGTGTGCAGTGCATTTGTGCATTCACATCCTAGATAGATGTAACCTTTTATCTCCGGCAAGCCGCTCCCAGCGGCTCGCGGTCGGAACAGCTATGCCGGTGAGCCGCTCCTTTGCAACGACTTCAACATCTAATTACTTTTCAGCAATTGCTGAAAACAGGTTTCTTTTACCGCAAGTTCATTCATTAGATGAAGTACTATCTTAATAGGTTCGCTAGTTTTAAACTAATGACCCATTTAGAGACCTTTTCATCATTTTTAGATTTAGTACCAATTAATGGCCCCGGCGTAGTGGGTTTACCACCCTCGGAGGTTAAGAGTTAATGCTAGAGAAAATAGTGAGTCTTTTTTACAGGAGTAGACAAAATCAAAATACAGAGATCATTGATTTTAAAAAAAATAGTCTGTATGTATTATAATCATTTGCTTCTGCACTGTGATTACTCTGAAGGGATATCTGAACAATGTCTGACAGCTGCTCAGTATTTAGTCATTCCCCTTCTTGTTATTTGTAAAAAAAATAGAAAACATATTTTAGAATACTCAACTGAGACAAAATTTGTAAAGTTTAATCCAAATCTTAAGCAGAAAGATAAAGATATCTAAGTGACAAATCTTAAGAAGACAGAAACAGCCATGACCAAGTTAGTTTTCTCCTTAGAAGTCGTCAGAGAAGAAAAGACCTAACTTTAGACAACATCCAGTAACAACTACATCAAACTGGTCAACCCTTTTCCAAACAGGTAAAGAGTGCAATGAACGTTAGTTTGTTTAAGTAAAGAGAAGCACATCAACAGTCATTTAGTGCTTGGAAACACGTGACAGACAGGTGGACAGTAACAAAAGAGGGAAAGAAAGAAGTAAGACCACCCAGAGTTCTCCTCCAACTGCCCGTAAGTTTGAACTGAGTAAATATTAAAAACTAGATTAGCACAAGAAACTTGGATGAGCACTAACTTTGAATGGCGGTCGTAGAAGGGAGAGCGCAGCAGATACATGACCAACATCAGTGACCGCCGCTTCAGCTCCCTCTTCTCCTGACTGTTCAGACTTGACGTGTCCCCCATCAGACATAGGCTGAGAAATACAAAGTGAAATACTAAAATCTTTTCATCTCATCATAAAGCAAACCGCAAAATAAAAGTTTGTAAAAGACCGTGTGCTATTGTGGGACGCAAAAGATCATTTATTGTACACAATGTAAAATATGCACCCAGAGCTCACAGTTTGTAGACATATTAGTATGAAAACACCTGTGACCCAAAAAAAAGGTACCACTTTTGATCGTGTAAAAAATCTAGTCTTGGAAGTGTTTACGCTTTTCCTTTCAAGTGAGTGATATTAAGTAGTCTAAAAAGTCAATCCTGTAAAATAACATTTTGATACTTCAATTACTGCTCAAAACACCAACATTAAAAAACAGAACATTGGTGCAGTTTTCTGCCAACTCCTTTTTTATTCTTTATCTTATTTGTATGAACCTTTCAGAAAAAAATCTTAGTTGAACTGAAACAAAGTTGCACATACATTAATATAATACAACTTTTAAAAATTATTTGATATACACAAATTATGTCACTTAAATTTTAATCAGGTTACATACTGTATTTGTCAGTAAAATTTGTAAAAGTTTTTCTTCGACACATAACTGTAAACCCTCCAGTACCAAACTTTGAAATAAGCAGAGGTAAACTCTCACCTAGTTTGGGGAAATTTGGTCAAGAAAAAAAACAGCCTTTGAGATTCATTTCATCTTCTTTTTTTTTTCAAGATGGCCACTATTTCCTCAGCAACTAACAAGCAGGCATAAACTGAAGGGCTTATATCTAAGTCATACTATATGTAAAAAGATGTTAGCGCTGGTTCTTATTTTAGAAAATGGGTCGTAAGGATCCCTTCTATCCTTACACTTCAAATTTATAAAAGCTTCAAATTAAAGCACTTCATCTTTTTATCTGATTGTCTGGTTGACAGCCAACCAACAACAGGAAGAGCTAACACCCCATCTTACTCAAGTGTCAATGCCATAAACATTTTCATACAAACTGCTCATCTAGAAATAAAAATTTAGAAAAATTTTTGAGAAATTTAAAAAATTTCTTTGAAAGTTGCAGCCCTAAAGATATTATATTTATATGGTCCAAAGAAAACAATTGCCAGCACTGAAAGGGATCAATAGATAGAATCCCTGTTCAGGAGAATTTAAAAAATCTGCAGGACAACAAAGCTCCTTGACCGTACCTACTGACATCTAGGCCAGCTGACAAAATCCATGGCTTGAACGATGATGTTCCAAACAGGTACAGACTGGACACTGAGAGGAAAGGTCAAGGACACTACACACACAGCAAGAGATAACTGATTTGGACTTTAAAAAAGGAGACAACTATCAATTAAGAAATGAAACAAATCATAATTTTGAGCAAATATTTATCCCTCTAAGCATTGCCAACAAATAGTCTGTGGTTTCTAGGAAAATTACATAATTTTACCATATTATGTTGGAAAATTCTTGAGAACAAGCAAACAAAGCAAGTAAAGGTGATAAACCTGTACAATTTCAGAAAGTAGGCTACAATATAAATAGGAAGTAGAGTTCATTTGTGAAGGAGTTGAAAAGTGAGGCAATATTTTTTTTCTATGAAAAACATGATAAACTAACCAAAACATCGCCTCAAATTACATCGACCACAACATCACAGAATGAAACTACAGCAGATTTAATCAGCAGTCGACACTAGAAAAGTTTTTAAAAAACTCTTCTACTATTCAAGCTCTGGTCTGGTATGGTATGGTAGAACATATTTCTCTTACATCTTTTTCAAACAGGAAGCTGATTAAGGAAGCTGGATTTTCAACTCTATATCTTTTTCTGGCAGGACTGAGCCAAGGGTACACAGAGCCATGAAAACTCCCCAAACAACCCCAGTTCCAATTGGACCTTGTCTTGGAACACAGGAATTTTCCTAATATAGAACCATGTTGCTTTACAGTGATTCGCAGATTTAAGATGACAGGTTAGTTATGGAAAGAAAAGTACAATAAATTAGCTTTTTTTATTAAATCATTAACTTTTAAACATTAGACATACATCTTGAAAAAAAAACAGTAGAGGAAAAACAGAACGAATTAATACTTGTGTATGTATAGAATTAGTGGACAAAATAATGAGCAGCAATGTTCCATGACATAAAAGAAACCAAGCACTGAATTTAAGAACAACAGTCAGATTTGTCTGAGACTTTAAAAAATTGCAACAATCATGACAGTTTTCCAAGACCAGTCGAATACATTTTCTTTTCTTGAACAATCGACAACATATCCCTCTCAACAAATCATGACATAACACAATAGTACCAATCTTCAAGGATACAGTGAACCAAAGGTTTGAAGATGTACAAGCACTCGCCATAGGTTTGTGCAGAAGACAGACAGGTCGGTTTACGGTTCTCCTTCTCTTGTGTAGTCTCTGGTGTCTCAACGGTCTCGCCAGGGAGTTTCCAGTCTCGTCTGTTCACAGGTGGTGCTGTTGAGAAAAAAATTTTCAGTAAAGGAAATGAACATTGGAAGAGTGCAACGTAAAGACTGCTCTAAAACAGATTCACTGTCTAAGAATTCCTTCTCCTTACCCCATCAGTCAAAAGTACAAGACAAAATGTACTATGGCAAATACAATGACTCATAGGAAGTAATATTTTCTAGTAATATTTTCTGTTTTAAGAAGTGGCTTTCATCAGCAGCTCTCAGCACAGAAATCATCGATATAAAAGAAAATCCATAGGCAGAGGAATCGTACACCCCTTATCGCCAAAAATCCTTTGGAAATTATACAATTACCTTTATTTGTTTATATGTGTCAAGTCCTATCATCACACAAAACAATTGAGAATAGTAATTAAAAATCCATCTCATATCTGAAAGAATTTAACAATATAAGATGGGGTTTACAGTTGAGGGATTCAACTATGATAGAAGCCTGGAAATGCAGCATATGTTCTTTAAATATAAAAAGTTTGGAGAAAGCTTTCTTCAAGTAGACACAGAATGTTACGCCAGGGTGTCCAGCAATATTTCCGGAAAATATTTACTACCTGGAAAAAAATTTACTGCCCAGCAAATCAAGTCCCACACCAGCTCAAAAGAGGGAGTTCATACGCGCCATCAATAACATATATTACTATTACATAATATACGGAACAAAAATAACGCACAACAAAGTCCAGTTGACAAAATGGAAGATGGACTAATAGACAGACGATTGCAAGCTTGCTCGCCGCTAGACTTATTTTTAGTTTTAGTAAGGTTTTTAAGAGCACCAAGGGGTGGATGTCAACAGAGAAGTCCAGACGGGGAATCAAGCTTACTCTGCTCACCTCTCTAGCCTCAACAGCACAAAGTCTGCTTTGACTATCACAGCACGCAAAGAGATATATAAGGGACAATTTTACAAAGACAAGTATCAAAGCTTAACATTTTAAAAACCACCAAAAAAAAACAAAGCAATTTCTTTCTTGCAAGCACAGATTTCTCTGTAAAACAAATGAATTCAAATTTTGAAAATTCAAATTTCTTCCCTGAGTAAAATGTATTTGTTACTTCAGTTTACCCTACACAAAAGGCAGCCATTTTATATAACTGACAAAAAATATGAACAGGCATGAAATACAGCTCAGTAAACAGCTTCAACCAACATTAACAATTTAAGTTAGAGTTTTACGGTACTTTCATCACAATTAGACCATGCAATTGCTGAAAATTTGAGGTGCTACTAGAGAAAAACATACAAAGAAAAGGAGGACAGATAAGAACCATTAATATTTGATAAGAAAGAGCACCCGCCAACCACCCAATAACAATGAAACAGGAGTCACGTTTTGAAAGACTTGGATTAAAATCACAAACATTAGAATTTGATCTGATTACTTCCCAAGTTACCTCACACTGCAAAGCATTATGTGATGACTGCCAGTAGCGGGCAATCTCATGGTAGTATAATGACAAAACCATAAACATACATTTATGCAGTCTTTAGAAGTATTAATTAATATCCTGTAAATTAAATATATATAATATACATTCACCTAGTGAACATTGGCGAAGCAACTTATTTTGAGTTCCCTTCATTTGATCAATGTGAGGGACAAATATATTAATTGAATTGTCATTCAAATGTCTCTGTCGTCATTATTTCAACAAGAGACAATTTCAGGAGACCAAGCAGGGCCGTGAGCTGCATCATTATATCAGATAAAAGCAATATACATAAGGGGAGACCTTAGCATGAACATAAAACCTGAACAAATTTGGTGAAAAGGTTACTGTTCTTGTTTGTTTTAGTTAGGCTTTACAGCGCTCGCAACTGCATAAGGTCATATGAGTGCCAAGGGGTGAATGTCCTCAGAGAAGTCGAAATGGGGAATCAGGCTTACCTTTCTAGCCTCAACAGCACAAAGTCTGCTTCGGCTATCAAGGCACCCTGGAAACAGCAGTTCACAAGAGACTGACAAAAACACAAAAGAAGTAGAGGAAAAATGACAATAGTAAGGATGAGGAAAGAAAAAGCAGCAGTTCCCCCTATGTTGTTCTGGCATAGTATGAGCCTGAAATTGATAAATCAGCCCATTTACAGTTCTACTGTGCATAAGAACATGTTAATATCCCCCCTTTGGGAATGGCATATAGACACTTCAGTCAGTAGCACTGCCCTGGAGGGGATGAAAAGGTTAATAAAGAAGATATTCCAAACAGACTTGGAAAATAAAACTAGCAACAAATGAAATAGATTAAACCAATTAAGAAATTCTTTCTTCCCATAGCATAAAAGGCAAGAGAAGATATTGCAAATAATGGAAGCCAAAAAATAAATCTGTGAAATCTGAAGCTAATGAAAGTCTGCCTGTATATACATAAATATAAATAGATATGCAGTAAAACCTTAGTATAACATACTACCTACCGTAAAATTTGGAATATTATACCAGAGGTATGTATTAGCCAAAATGTGACTTAAAACATTGTAATAATAATACAGCCATGGATAGTCTTTTTCCCTGGGGTCTCAAGGACAGGGATGATAAGTTCAAAAAGTGATGTAAACAAAGGCGTAATGAAAGAGGTCTCCACAGGCTCATCAAATTCAAGTTGGGGGAGGAGGACAAAGGGGGGGAGGGCAGTTTTTGGCAGTCCGTTTGACGCTTGCAAAAACGAAAGAATCTGACAGGACGCATCATTAAAATTCGACCTTGATTGTTCACCACTACACACCATTTGCGCACAAAAGCTGTTTGTTTCAAACAATGACCTCATTTTTTAATTTTTAATCTCGCGTTGGCCTAGGCCATTACCCACAAAACGCAGGAATTTTTTTGAGGGATAAGGGACTGGAGTTGGGGGGAAGGAAAAAATTTGGAAGCACGCATGCGCCCACGTGTATGTATGCGTAAGAGGGAATGAGGGAGGGGAGGAGAGAGAGAGAGAGAGAGAGAGTGAGAGAGAGAGAGAGTGAGAGAGAGA